CATACAAAGCACTTAATTAAATCAGAGAAGACCAGCAAAGAGTGGGACTCCAAAGCAAAAGCAAACTGTCCTGATGGAACAAAGGACAAAAATCTAGTGGCACAGAACTCACTTGTAATCCTAGCACTCAGGGAGCTAATGAGGCAGGAGGATGACAAGTTCAAAGCCAGACTGGGCTTTACAAAAACCAAACACTTTCCCCTCAAAGAAAGCAAGTACCAATAGCAATTAATAAATAGTCACAAATATGGTGATATTAATGTAACTATAGTACATCAATAATCATTTGAATAGAGTCTGATTGCACCAATTAATAGATTAATAGAGACTATTAGAATGGACTGAATCACAAGACCCATGCATGGCTGAGGATGTAGCCCTGTGATAGATAGAACACCCGCCTAGCATATGCAAAGCCCTAATTTGCAAAACAAACCAACCAACCAACTACGGAAAAACAATAACATGACCCAACAATACATTGCCATAATGATTTCTATTATAAAGATAAACAAACAGATTAAAAGTAGATAGATGGAAGGAGTTGGCGAGATGACTCAGCAGTGGTCAAGCGCATGCGCTGCTCTCCAGAGGACTGGAATTCAATGCCCAGCACCAGTGTCAGAGGGCTCACAACTGCCTGTTACTCTAGCTCCAGGGAACCCAACTGCTCTGGCCTCAATGGGCACCTACACTCCTGTGAACATACCTACACACACACGCACATATATATATATATATATATATATATATATATAATTAAAAATAATAAAAATAAATATTTTAAAAAGTAAATAGATGGAGAAAGAGAGAACCATGCTAATCCCCATCAAAAAGGCAGCCAGAATAGCTTTGTTAATTTAAGGCATAGCAAATTTCAGAACAAATAAAATTATTGGGGATAAATTGAGAATTAATGATAAAAAGATCCAGTCTTCTGGAAGATAAAAAAAAAACTCCTTCATATATATTTGCCTAACAACACAGCATCAAAATACATGAGGCAAAAAATTATAGGACAAAGAGGAGAAATAGATGAAGCCACTATTATAGTTTATGCCTTTCTATCAACAATTGACAGATCCAGCCAGAAAATCAGTAAGAATATAGTTGAACTGAATAGCACCATCAATCAACTGTATCTAATTGACATTTATAGACTACTCCATCCAACAAAACAGAATACACATTCTTTCCAAGCTCATGTGGAACATTCACCAAGATAGACCACATCTTGGGCCATAAAACATGCCGTAACAAATTTAAAAGAATAGACATCATACAAAGTATGCTCTCAGACCACAGTGAAATTAAATTAGCAATCAATAACAGAATGATAGCTGGAAAATCCCCAAATATTTGGAGATTAAACAATAAACTTCTAAATAACATAGGGGTCAAAGAAAAAGTCTCAACACAAAAAGACTAGGATGGGGGGGTCGCTCAATGGCAGAGTCCTCGGCACTGCAAGAGATATTTTAAGAAAAGTGAAAATAAAAGATTACAATTTACCAAAATACATAGGTTGCAGCAAAAACAGAGCTTCGAGGGAAATTTGTAGCATTGAATATACATATTAGAAAGTAAGAAACATCTAAAACCTAGGTCTGTACTGTTGGGAAAAAAAAAAACAAATCAAATCCAAGGTAAACAGAAGAAAATATATAATAAAAAGTAGAACATAAAGCAATGAAATTGAATGTAAATAAACAGCAAAGAAAACAAGTCCAAACCCGAGTCTTCGGAAATATCCTCAAGACTACTAAGCCTCTCAATAAGAGAATAAACAGAATCACATGTATCAGGAATGAAAGGAGAGGTATCATTATTGATCTCATGGACAGTAGAGGATAATGATGGAAAACTGTGAACAGCTGTGGCTAGAGTTTGATACAGGAAAGGGGCAGATTCTGTGGCTTGCTTTTTATTAAACGGGACATAGAAAAAAAATGACGAGATGTCACTCCCGAGAGTAAGTTATAAAAAGAGACTGTATCTACTATCTTCTCTCTCTCTCTCTCTCTCTCTCTCTCTCTCTGTCTGCTGGTGTGGTGGGGGGGGGGGGTGGTGGTGGTGGTGGTGGTGGTGGTGTGTGTGTGTGTGTGTGTGTGTGTGTGCGTGCGTGTGAGAGAGAAAGAAGCCCGTGAACAGATCCACATCACAAGAATAACAACCTGCCAGTCAACATTGAGGTTGACTTAGACTTTCTGAGGCCTGACAACATCTGTGTTGTCATGTGGACCCCCCACCCAACTGAACCTTCAAGGAAGCGCTAACCACAGATGAGAGTGCGCTTGAGTTCATCCTTACACAACTCAAGCCCGATGCACTGTGACTAAACCATGTCTGGATTCTCTAGTCACAGAAACAGTGCCATTAATTAATGTTTGCCCTGTTGTGTTATGTGTTTGAGACAATTTGTTATTCATCAGTAAATAACTGCTACGTGTTTTAAATTTGGTTTTGGTTTTTCGTTTGTTTTGAGACAGGGTGTCTCTAAGTAGTCCTGGCTAGCTGGGAGCTCATGAGGGCCCACCTGCCTCTGTCTCCAGAGCGCTGGAATTAAAGGCCTTCACTACCACACCCAGATGACTACTGCACGTCTTTTCACCAAGAAATCCTACTTAAATGTGTGTGCACAGAGCGGAGCAATTTTTTCAAATCCCTTTCCCCACGAGAGCACAGGTTAAAAATGTTGAGCAGGCATCTATGAGAGGCTAGAAGCAATATTTCCCAGGGGTAGCCTGTTGGGGAAGTCAGACTTCCTGGAGGGTCAAGAAGATGAAACTTGCAAAACAACCATAGGTTGAGCAGAAAACTGCCCTGGAGAAGGACACAAGAAACCATATACTAAGAGGGTCATTGAATTCTCATAATCTCACTAGACAGACATGATTCGACTCCAACAGTAGGGAAAGAGATACATAAATTTCATAATTCGTGCAATGGAATTCCTTACCATAGTGTATTCTAGTTATACCATGTGAAGTAATCGATAAAATAGCACTCAGTAGTTAAAATGCGTGACTCAGAGCTATGTGTTTCAATATTGTCGAATTTCCAACTATTTCATGAAATTTGAAGATGACTTACCTAATTTAAAATAAAGAAATAATAATGCATAGTGTGTACAGAAATATACATATGTAGGACCTGGAAAATAAGTAGAAAAATACAAGCTCTCAAATGGTTCTCCTTTAAGGAAAGAAGTTAAGGGGAATCGGATAACGTCAAAGCTTCAGCTGTAATTTCCTTGTTTCAAAAGTAGAGGGTCTGAAACTTGAAAGAAACCAAAAGTTGCTCAGTCTGTGAGACAGATAAATTCAAATATGTTCTTTATACTGTTTTCCTGTTCAAAATAGAGTGTTTCTATTAAAAAATGAATCCTCTTGAGTCCAAAATACATATACATTAGCCCTGGCTTATTAATTGCGCTGGTCAGTCCCCCTATGTCCTTAATTATTTGGAAGTCCGTTTGATCTGTCTGCAGCACAAGCAGTGTGGGTTAAGACTGCCGCTACAGCCATCCACTTCCTGGGGTCTTCGTATTCCTAACAGCAATGGCTCCACATATTTTGAAACTGCATTACTTGGTGCTTACATTTTGTGATCATTCTCTCTTGTCCTTTCTGAAACAGCTATTGTGTTCTCTTAGGCACTTTTTACTTTGACTTCTCTATTTGTAGATTAGTGTTGCTACTTTTAATGGAGCAAGCTTGAGCAACCTAGAAAGTTCAAGGTGAGCCTGAGCTACATACATAATGAGACCTTGTCTGACAATAACTAGAACTAACCTTTCCCACACCCCACTCTCCCCCCCACAAAAAAAAAGAAAGAAAAAGAAGGGGAAAAAAATAAATGCTCCAAATTTTGTTTTGTTTGAGACAGTCTCCCTCTTTGTAACGCTGGCTGTCCTGGAAGTCTCTGTATAGACCAGGATGGCCTGGAAAAAATAGAAATCCTCCTGCCTGTGCCTCTGGAGTACTGGCATCAAAAGCATGAGACACCATGTAGTCTGAATTTGATTTTACGTAGTTACTAGTCCGCACTACACGCTGTTATGTGTGAATTCACTCCTGTTTGTTGTTGCTGTTTTCTCTTTCTACATCCTTTGCTCTTGCTCACCCTCTCCTTGCTTTTTGCCCCTTGTTGGATTTTGCCCCCTTAGCTGGACACAGTATTCTTTTAACAGGAATCACCCATACTGTTTGTATTGTCCCCCTGGAGGTCTTTTGTGGCTGTTCTACCACATATGTTTCCTGTAAGAGCAAAGCTTCGCTACTGCTGCGAACTCAGGAACTCCACATCGATTGTTCTCAACATCCATTCAATTTAAAGAGTTCAAGAAAGGCTTCTCTGGGCCTTGTTTTGTTCTGATTTTCGGAGACAGGGTTTCATCTGGATAGTCCTGGCTTTGTTTGTAACTCATTCTGTAGCCCAGCCTGGCCTCAGACTTAGAAAACCACCCGCCTCTGCCTCCCAAGTGCTAGGATTAAAGGTGTGCGCCACCACACTTGGCTAGCTGCGACACTGTAAAATGTGACGCAGTTGACAAAACGTGAAGCCGTGTTGTGTGTAATGAATTATCTCCTGGATAGTACCAGATTTCACTGCAAACACCTTCAATTTGCCTCAAACACCAGGCTTTTAAAAAATTGACGTTTCTACTGCAACCCCGAATACTGCTTTAGATTTTAATATCCCCAGGCAAACCATAACATGTAACATAGAATGTGATATAGTAATATAATTAACTATCGTATTAGAATTCATCAGAATCTTCAGGTTTCAGTTTATTAAAGAAAACTGAAGGGAAGGTGGCAAATGTTTAGCATTTGTTAGTGCTGTTACAATTCTCGCTACGTGTGTGGGTCCCTGAAAAATCTGAGCGTTTCAAACGAAATAACGTTTTGTAGCCCACGGGGATGTGCAGAGGGCAGCAGCCGCCCCCGCCACATCTAGGGGGCGGACTCACGCTGACGTCACAATCACTTCCGCCGCCGCAGTCCCCGCCTGCCCTAGTGCTCTTTAGCGGAGGAGGAGCCGAGACCCTGAGCTGCAGCCGCGGTGGTGGCGTCCGGAGGTCCCACAGCTCTGCTGCTCCGAGCGCGCGACTATCGGGGAAGGTGAGTGCCAGGCAGCCTGCTGCAGTAGCCCGGACGGGTGGGCAAGGGTTTCCGAGTGGGCACGGGCAGAATCCCAATGACCCCTTTGCGGGTTCGTCTTGGGCGCGGGGTGGGGCGGAGGGGATTTAACCACATGCCGAGGCCCGTGGCCTCTTTGGGGACCGCATCCCTTTCTGTCCAGCTCCTGCCTTCCGTTACGGCCTCAGCCCGAATGGCCTTTATGGCTGTTTGAGAGAGGGCTGGTGGTCGCGGCCCTCTGCCACTCCTACCTGTCTCTCCTTGCAATGCTCTTGGCCTCTTTGCAGAGCACTCTCTGGCCTTTCTTCCCCCATTTTGCTGCTGTTTTGTCTAATGGCACATGGCTAAAAAAATTAGGTACAAAATGTGCCCACGAAAAGAATTATTAGAAGATAAACAATATTCTCAGGGAAAATCAGGGTTCCTACACGAAAAGCTTTTCTTTCTTTTGACCTGCCACATTGATTTGGGTTGCCCTTTGAGCTGATAACGTATTCCTGTCTCTTATTATGACATTGCACCCCCTCTTCTGTGTCGCACACACGCGCGTGCGCGTACACACACGCGCACCCGCACATACACACACACACACACACACACACACACACAC